TTTTACCAAATATTTTATATTTAATTTTTGCTTAAAATTATATACAACAAATTTAATTTTTTATTTAACATACTCTTAGGAATCTCCAATTTATATTTGCATAGTTTTAGGTGTCTCTAAATTGGGATTTTAAACTGAGCCCAATTATCCAGCTGGCGAAAAAATCTGCTGACCTTTCTGAGCTTCCACTTATGCATAACCATGGCAACATTAGACCCCATTAAACTAATGGACTCACAAAATAATAGCACAAAAAACGCCCTAAACTTACTTCAACCATTTTGCTAAGCTGTTAAGTATTCGGCCTAAAGCACACCATTTCGTTAATAGTTATAAATTAGCTAGGAAATGACTCAATGCGGGCGCCATTAATTAGTCAGACAGCTGCGAGATCAAATAAAAAATTATTTTCAGCAGGAAAATTATGAAATTTTTTCCGTCAATAAAATGATTGCCAATGAATTAGCTTTGCGCATTCAATGCAAATCAGAAAGAGACAAAAATAATACTAATAAAAAGCAAAATTCACGAAATACTCGTAAAGTAGTTAAAACCAGCTTCAATTAAGTCGCCACCTGGAAAAATTATGCCTCCTCGTGTGGCAACAAAATGCAGCTCAAACCCAGCCGTGACAGCAGCGTCCGAAGAGACGAAGACACGCAACGCTGACTGTGACCAGGTGCTGCGAATCGAGCTCTGCTATAAATTCAATCCGAATGGATTTGAAATAAGTAAATGAGATGCCCGCCAAGTAAATACCCTATGAGACTACTATACGATATGATAAGATATGATTAAATATGATATAATACTAGTCGATCATATAGGGCTCTCCCGCGCTCCAGTTGAACTTAAAAGCCGTTAATATTGTAGATAAATGGAAAGAAAGTCGAAAGACGAGGATGTATATTGTCAAATATAACGAGTGAAGGAATTTATAAGTTATTTATTAATATTATTTTTTTCCGAATCTTCTTTACTCTGTATTCTTCAACGTCTTCTTCTATTCTTTAAATATTTTCAGAAAAATAATATATAATTTTATATACATATGTATTCATCAGAACTTTGAGAAGTTTCCTTTCATATAAGGTTTAACTTTCCACAATTTCTCTACAAAAGTCACACAGTTTTATGTATTTTCCATAGCATTATATATATATCATACATTTCACATATGTATATACTATATATACTATATACTGCATCTGTAGTCACTTCTTTTAGCGTAACTGACGTAATGACAACACCCTCATCCAAAAGTATCCTCACGGTTTAGCTGGCATTTGGCAGGATGCTGCAGCCTGCAGCAACTTAATTTGTCAGCTGGCACTGGGCGGTTATATCATCACCGGTATTGGCTGCCACATTTGGATGCACAATGAGAGTGCCAATGGTCGATAGTCGATAGTGGCAGTCGTTGCATACGCGGAATGCCACCAAAGTTGACTGTGGAGCATCGCAACGATCTGGAGCTGGTACCTTTCACTTTTTTGCATTGGGCGCTAATTCGACTGCTTCGACGACTCCTGCCAGCTGCATGAGGCACACAGACACAGTTCAAACTCTGTGCGAAAATTTGATTATGCCATGGCGTTGGCCACTTCCGCCAAATGCCAAAAACCAAACCGAAAACGAGTTCATTTCCGAATTTCTATTTTATTTGTTTCTTATTTTTTTCGATTTTTGTCGCGCGACTTTGAAGTCCAATKTGAAGTTGAAGTTGAAGTTCATTGCGCAACGCGGCGATAGCAGCGCCATTGAACAGGAAGTGCAGGAAGTCGTGCAGGATGCCGTACCATTTCGTTATATTATCATTTCGTTTTCGTTTTTCTCTCGCTCATGCAACATGTTGCCAGTGCTGTCAAGGCGAGCGCACCCAGCCTGTTATCGCACTTCTCGTTACACTCTGAAAATTTTTCACTCCATCTCTTTTGCCATATGAATTTTTATTTGCCTTTTCAATTGCTCCACATCAATTAAAAAAAAAAAAAAATAATAATAAAATAAAATAAAAAGAGAGCAATGTGGCATATGGTAAATGGTTTGAAGCTCAGAAATAAAGAAAAACATTCAAATAATATGTTATACTTTTTTTTGTAACAGTGTAAAATTGCATATGAAAGATATTTTGTAACATGCATTGCATCTCATGGATTTAAATGATTTTGTGTAATTCCATTTTGCACAGCTATCAATTGAAGCAATTTATTTTACTCAAAATAGTTTAAAATTGTAAATATAAATATTAAAATAAATATATATCTCTAATTTTGTATATATTTTATAACTTAAACTTTTCTCGGCGTTTAAACTAAATTTGAATGCTTCCTTCCTGCTGTTGCACTCAACCGGTCTCACGGTCTCGAAGACGTAATTTTATTTTATATTGTTTTTTTTTTTTTTAATTTTTTTATGGCATTCTTGCGTTTGCCATTTGTTGAACAGTTGAAGCGATAATTTCATTATTATTACTAGGCTTTTTATTTCTTTTAGTATGAGCTGATGTGCAATCAGTCGAAACTGATGGCCTGTTTCAGACGCAGTCGTTCGTTTAGCGACCATCGACCTGGTTGGCACACAGCTTTGTGGTCAAAACAAATTAGTGGGAGCCAACGTCTCGACTGGACGCGACTCTCGGAAACGCTGCACAGGT